GTCTGTGTGTATAGTGTGTAGTTAGTATGCTCTGTTTTGTGGTGTGTGTGTGTGTAGTATATAGTATGTAGTGTGGTGTCTGTGTGTATAGTGTATAGTTAGTATGTGCTCTGTTTTGTAGTGTATAGTGTGTAGTGTGGTGTCTGTGTGTGTAGTGTGTAGTTAGTATGTGCTCTGTTTTGTAGTGTATAGTATGTAGTGTGGTGTCTGTGTGTATAGTGTGTAGTTAGTATGTGCTCTGTTTTGTAGTGTATAGTATGTAGTGTGGTGTCTGTGTGTGTAGTGTGTAGTTAGTATGTGCTCTGTTTTGTGGTGTGTGTGTAGTGTGTGTGTGTGTAGTGTATAGTGTGTAGTGTGGGGGTGTTGTGTGACTGGCCACAGGCATATTTCTGCACAAAGTGTGAAATCACTTTTTCCGAGAGCAGATGTTGCACCCGGTGCCTTTCCTGCCTCTGTCAGCCTGATCTCTCCCAGCCCCTGTCCCAGGTGTGGAGTCATTAAAGTACGCCTGGCTAATGGGGCTCACTAAAGAATTTTCAGGGACATCTTAGTCTTAAGGTGATATTATCACCCAGGCACGTAAGCAGATGCCCAACGTGCCTTGCCATTCTCATTCTCCTATTAATCTCCTGCTGTTTCTCCCCTAATCACAAGATACTTTTTTTTTAAAAAAAAAAGCAACCTAAAAGGATAAAGATAAAAACAATAAAATTCTAATTGGAGAACTTGTTTGATGAATATCACATCCTTCCCTCTGAAAGTAGGAATCACCTAGTTTAAATCATCCCTGTCATGTTCTATGACAAAGGGATGTGAGCTTTAATCTATGTTGTATTTCAAGCAGCACCATGTTTATGCAATCCACAGATTTGCAGGTTCCTAAGTGTTTTCTCTAGCCCTGGGAAACGTGGATTCCCAAACCAGGACTTCATACTTGAGCAGACTTAAATTCATTTCATAAAGTCTTTTTCATGATTCCAGCAGTTTACCTTTCCCCCTTTTCTTAGTGTATTGCTCTAATTTCATTACCTATTTTTTTTTGAGAGAGAGAGAGAGAGAGAGAGAGAGAGAGAGAGAGAGAGAGAGAGAGAGAGAGAGAG